TATATATATATATGCCAGAGAGATAGCTCAGTGGTCCAAGCACCTGCCTGGGACACACAAAGACCCAGATTCAATCCCCAGTACCACATTCCATGTCAGCCTTCCAGTGAGCCAGCCACCGAAACCAGTGTGGTGGTGCATGCCATAATCCCAGCACTGGGGAGGCTGAGACAGGAGGATCACTATGAGTCTGAGCTGTGTGGTTAGAATGGGGGGAAAAAAAGTCCCATTATTATAGTGGTGGCAGAACAGTTCTCATGTGTGTCCCTCAGTGGCCAAATTGTAGTTTCGGTGTAGCCCAGGAAAGAGCCAGCTCACATACTGAGACTCATATATAATCAACCCCCAAAATATTGAATCCCCACTATGTGTTCTAACCCTCATTCACTGTAATGAAGTGAATTATAGTGGTAAAGACTGGGCTGAGGAGCACTGATTTAGCCCAAGATGTCCTCTAGAAATTTTGGTTTTTAAGAAACATATTGTTAGTGTAAGTTTTTGTTTTTTCTGGTAGAGAAGACCTGCTGCTTTGCCTTAGAAACAGCAGTGGAGAAAGCAAGTTGGTTTTTTGAAAGGGAATAAATACATTTATTTTTCTCTGGGGAATAATCAATCATGGTTTCCATTGGGGAAACACAGTTTTGAAAAATGTAGGTCACATTGTCTTTGAAAGCACAATAGAATATCAAAGGCTGTGATATCCCCAAGTGACCAGTGTGCACCCAGGCCTATCTCTAACAGACGCGAGTCTCCTACGCAGCAGGGTCAGTTCTGAGCTGTGCAGAACCCAACCTCAGACATGGCCTTCTGTGCTCTAGGTGGAGCCAGAGCTGCCCTTGTTGCTGCGGTGGTTTGTGATTTTGAAATCTGTCTTTGCTTGCAGGAGCTGCTAAGCCGCACGTCTCTCGAGACCCAGAAGCTTGACCTGATGACTGAAGTGTCTGAGCTGAAGCTCAAGCTAGTTGGTATGGAGAAGGAGCAGAGAGAGCAAGAAGAAAAGCAGAAAAAGGCAGAGGTGAGTGTGACGCTCCTCCGCATGCAGGAGCGCGGAGAGGACCTGTGCTGTCCTGAGCTCAGGCCTGGGAGCCATCCTGATGAGGCCTCGGGCCGTCGGGTAACCCCAGGCCTGGCAGCTCCTGAGGGCAGAAGTCTGGGTGCGCTACAAACACGAAGATCGGTTAGCATCGGGTTATTGGATTTAGCTGTGGCTGCACATTGCAGCAGTGCCCAAACCACTCAGTGTTGGCCTAAGGCTTTCTCCTTCCTCAAACTGCTGACAGGGATGAAAAGGGAAGCGGGAGTGAGGAAAGCTTCTGACGAAACGTGGAGCACACAAGATGACTTCTGTACGAACCAAGGTGATAGATGACCTTCTGCTGTGATAAAGACACATTTCCTATAGGCCACTGTCACTCTGCCAAGGAGCTGAGCTTTTTTTAAACATATATGTCACTGACTCAGATGGAATCCTTGAATTATGTGTTTCTTTACTCTTGATATGCCTTATAGATGAGCCCATATGTATATCTTTTCTAAAAGAATTTGTGTGTGTGTGTGTGTGTGTGTGTGTGTGTGTGTGTGTGTTACTGGGGATTAGAACACAAGGCCTTTGCACTGAGCTACATCCCCTTGGTATTTATTTTTTATTTTGACAAGGGTCTCAGTAAATCATTAAGTTGCCCAGGCTTGGCTTAAGCTTTTGATCCTCCCGCCTCAGCCTCTCAGATTGCTGAGATTATAGGCATGTACATGCTACCATACAATACCCAGCTTTGTTTTTTGGTGCTCCAAAATTATTGGCTATGGCATACCAGTTTCTTTTTGGGATAAACATTTAGAGAATTGTAAGTTTCATTCTATTGGCTAGTATCTTGTTGAGGAATTTTGCCTCTTTGTTTATTGAAGAGATTGGCCTATAGTTCTCTTGTTTAGTTGGGTCTTTCTCCAGTTTGGTGATGAGAGTGAAAGTGGCTCCCATAATTGAATTTCAGAGCACTCCATCTATTTCAGTTTCTTTGAACAGCTTGAGGAATATTGATGAAATGATATCCTTAAGGTTTTTGAGAAATTCATCAGGTACTGAGCTTTTTTAAGTTGGTAGCTTCTTTCTTTATTTTTCTAATGTATTTAGTACAGGGTCTCATTACACATATTGGACTTGTACTGATCTTCCTGTTTTCAGCCTCCCAAGCGCTGAGATTACAGGCGCACACCACCACACCCAGTCTCAGTCACTGTCTCAGCGCACCCCAGGGGCAGGGCCAGCATGGCATGCCGGGGGTCAAACCTCAGTCCCTGTGTGGTGCTTTAGTCCTCTGAGCTATCTGGCTGGCCTGGTAGCTTCTTTATTACTGAGTCAATTTCATTGCTTGTGATGGGTTGTTAAGTACATTTCTGTCTTGTGGGTTAGTTTTGGTAGTTTGTTTATATCTAGGAATCTCAGTTTCTTCAAAATTCACTACTTTGTTGTAATATACTTTTTCAAAGTAGTTACTGTCTTTTGGATTCTCACATTGTCTGTTGTGATTTCAACTTCATCATTTCTTTTTTTCGAATTAAGTTTCCCAGTACCATTTAGAAATGCATAATGATCACATTCATCACAGAGAACTTGTACCTATACATGATATAACTGGGTCCCTTTTTTCTTTCCTGTTCCCCTTCCTTTAATCTCTCTTCTCCTCATTTACAAAACTCTTATCCATTTTATCTTTATTTACTCATTGTTTTCTTTTCCCTTCTTTCCTTCCTCCCCTCTTTCCTTTTGAACAATTTCTTACTTCACAATATCTATTCTGCATGTTGATTCTTATTTACACTTTCAGTTTCTCAAACCAGAGAGGCAAGGCAATATTTCCACGTGAGTATCCAATTAATTTCACTGAAGAGGATGGTGTCAGGGTGCACCCACTTAGCCAGAAGTGTCTCGTTTATCCTTGTTCCTTGAGTAGTTCTCCATTATATATATATTTTTAAAAAACACATCTTTGTAATCCATTCATTTGTTGATGGCCATTTGGGTTGTTTTCAAGATTTAGCTATTACAAATTGTGCTGCTATAAACATGGATGTGCACATAGCACTGTGGTCTGATGCTTTCAGGTCTCTTGAAAAGCTACCGAGAAGAGGAATGGCAGAATCCAATGGGATTGTGTTCCTAGTTTATTGCGGAATCTCACACTCATTTCCACAGTGGTTGTACAAGTCTGTACTCACATCAGCAGTGGAGAAAGTTCCTTTTTCTCCAGTCTAAGGTGCAGAGATTCAATTCAAAGCCATGTAAAAAAGAAAAGGGAGGCGATAGAGTTAGGCTACACAACTTGGTAACAAAGTTTAAAAGTGCAAGGTTGAAGAAGTGCCTTCTAACTAGATCAAGCTGATCTCGCGGCATCACTAGTGGTTGGTCTTATGGCCCTTGGTTCTGCTTTTCCCTCATCTTCAGGGGGACTCTCCTACCTGGAGACTGGCCAGCCATTGGTAGGTCTGGACCGGTGTCCTGGCAGCGCCTGCAGAGATCATCTTTTTCAAAGTTCCAGCAGGAGCGCCAGGATTGCATCTCATGGGCCAAACTCGCGTTGGCTGCCTGCATCTGCGCTGGCCACTTCTGTGGGGCTCTTAGGTGGGGTGTGAGAGAGCCAGTGCGTCAGGGCAAAGATGTGGGGCACAGAGGCAGGGAAACTCGTTCCCTGTGTAGGAAAGTCAGGAAGCAAGGTGAGCTTTTTTGATTGAATTTTTTTTAGGTAGGTGTTTATTTGTTTGTTTGTTTTTGGTGCCAGGGACTGAACTGAGGACTGAACCCTGGGCTTCCAGCTTACTAGGCAAGCATTCTACCACTGAGTCAAACCCTCAGCCCCGAGCTCCCACTTCTGGAATCTGTCCTACAGCAAGCATTGGACTATTTTTTCTTTTTCTCCCGAAGGACTGTTTTGCCATCTGGGGCTTTTTGCTGTTATTTTCGCTCAGGTTATTCATGCATGAGGCCCCACCAAGATTCTGGCCTCTGTCCTACCAGCTCGCAGCCCTTCCCAGTTGCTAGTGCAAATATTAGGTTTCCATGTGGAAGAATTTTGTGGGCTGTTCAAACCTGTGATAAACAGTGAGCAGCCACATGACCTGAAAATCCATTCCTCATTCCTGTAATTGAACATACTCTTCGCTGGCATGCTCAGAACCTCTCTGCTCCTATAGCTATCTGGAGCACCCGGCCTTAAGCTGCGAGTGCCGCTTAAGCCACACTCTTGTCACGTGATGGAAATGTTTATTTTGAGTCAGCTATTTTGCTAGCTCAGGTCACAGGGGTGGTAGCTGTGTGTATAAGAGAATGCTGCTTCCCTTCCTGTATTGCTTCTGGTTTTTTTTTTCCAGTGAATGTAGTTAGTGGAAGGGCCGATTGCTTGTGGTTTGGAAAAAGCAGGACCTTTTTTCCCCCTCTAATCAGACCTGAAATAAACTTCTTCAGTGTATCTCAGGCTTTATCCTCCAGTGCTATTTCCTGCTTCAGTGCAACGAGGCTGCTGTTAAGAAGGGCACTGCAGACTGCTCACCTGCTCTGGTCTGATCACACCGTGAGCCCATGTCCTGCTGCCTGTCGTGAGCTGTGGAAATGATTGCTGGTGTCATCCTGTAAGACCCGAGAGCTTGAAAGTACAGGTTCTTGATGGCCAGCACTCATCAGAAGAGGGCTGGTACTTGCCCACATGAGATGTTGGCCAATAAGGGGCCTTTGGTTTGTCTTCTCTCACCAACCTTTTGCAGGAGTTCTGGATCATTTCATGGTACCGAAGACTGACTCAATGAGATTTACTCCCCAAAAATTAGTACTGCAGAAAAGTAATTGACAGGGAAAGTACCTACTAGAATTAGGATGATAAGATGTGAAAGAGAGATCCAGAGACGAGGAAGAAGGCCTTTGTGGTAGCCAGATCAAGGACATGCTGATGAGAAGGATCTCAGAGATCTCACAAAGTGTCTGCCTTCCCAATGGACTAGAGGTGTAGGGAGTCTTCAACTCAATCCCACTGTGGGCCCAGATGGATTCTGAGACAGTTGTCAGAACAGCCTTTTAGGGGAGCAGGGAGCCAGAATGTGTTAGGAAATGGAATTGGCCCGATTGGTGAAGGATTTACGTGATTAGGCAGAGAGCTCAGCAGACTCTCGGATTGATTTCCTGGCAGAACAGGGAACGTCTCACAACCCAGGGGGTGGTGCTGCGCCACTTCTTTCTCCCTGTGGTCTGGACTTTGAAAGGGAGGGATTCTGATGTCTGTGCTTGAGCTACCAGAACAATTGGTTTGGGAACAGAATGAGGAGGGCTGGGGACATTGTATTTGCTCAGAGATGAGCTGACCTGACCTGATGAGGAGAGTTTTATTATTTTTGTTCTTATTTTATTAATTTACTTTTTAAAATTAGTATATGCAGTATATTCCTACAATTCAAAAATCAAGAATTCAAAAGGATCAAGGGGATAAGAACCAAGAGGTATTTTAGGAAAAGCGCTAATCCCCTTCCAAACCAACAACTGAGGTGAAACAGCAATTAGCCAGGACAACAAACCAGGCCCTATAATAACTTGGTGTACAAGGGAGTTTAACAGGGAGGGAAAGAGATATTTATTTATTTATTTATTTATTTATTTATTTTGTATTTAGTACAGGATCTTCAGGGTCTCACTATGTAGATTGGATTTGTAGTGATCCTCCTGTTTTCAGTCTCCCAAGCACCGGGATTACAGGCACGCACCACCACGCCCAGTCTCAATCGCCTTCTCACTGCCAGGGCACGCCGGGGATCGAATCCCAGCTACAGAGCTCTGCCTAAGCAGGCACTTTAGTCTGCTGAGCTATCTGGCCAGCCCCTGAAAGAGATATTTAGAAGACAGATCCTACAGGCAGCTTTTCTACTAAAGATTCATAGGTCTACAGTGACAGAGTTAGGACAACTTCTGGGTCAGGCTGAACAGTCCCATGTTGGGTGCTAAAATCTGTTACTGCTTAGTGTGCGTCTTTCAGTAGA